TTCTCTCTGTCTCAAATAAATAAATAAAATCTTTAAAAAAAAAAAAAAAGAAATAAACCATCTTTTACAACTACTTGGAAATGCTGCCTTATACATACATATATATGTATATGCATATATACATCAGGTCTATCATTGCTAATGTGTTCAAGCACTCTCTTCATCTATTCCCATAACAATATCATGCTATTTTAAGTATTTTGGCTTTTTATGAATCACACTTGTGCCCAGTTTAAATTCTTTAAAAATCAATCTAATTCCCCTTCCTTTCAACCTACCCACCATACACAAACACAGATACCAGTTTGATTTTCATTAGTTATCACTGACCAATTGATTTTATGAATAAAAATTAAGACCATAAATTTTCTACAACCCATACTTATGAATGTATAATAATATTCTCAAGACTGTTTACCAATTTTCCTGAGGTCTGATTTGTCACCCATGTTTTTAATTATGGAATATTTTTAAATAACATTTTGTTTATTAGGTTCAAAGCTGTCTGTTCATGAATGTGTAAAGAGAAACCAAACCTGTTAAATATGTTATTCAAATTCTTCATGGTCTAATTTTTTGTCTACCTAATATGACAATTTTTAGAAAAATACATACTAGCATCACCCACTGTAGATATGGTTTTGGTAAATTTTCTCACTACTTGTAAGAGTTTGGGATATGTTTTTATGCCTTGTTGTTGGTGTATAAAGGATCATGATTATTAGAATTTCTACTGGATGTTACATGTCAATATAAAAACACCTTCTCTTTTCACCCTACACTGTACCTCCACACTAAAACCATACTTTCAAAGACTGGTACGCTGATACGGCAATTCTTATTTTCATTACATTAGCATTGCCTGTTAGAACTCAACTTACTCCTTTATTTCTAGTCTGTATTAGGATTTGTCTCTTTAACAGGACACAACCAGGTTTGCATTTTAATCGAAGCTGTGAGCAGTTACTTTTATTAAAAGAAATTACCCCATTATAATATGCTATAATAACTTATAATACTTATAGTAACTATAAGTTATTATGACAACTAGTATGTTGTGCCTAATTACTGACCTATCACTTTATTTTTCTTGCATATGATACACTTTTATTGTGCTTTTATTTTTTTTTTATTTTCCTGTGCCTGAATCAAGTTTTTTTTTTTACTTTTTTTCCTTTGTAGCCACTTAAAATATAACATTTCACAACTCACAAAGTCTTTTATATTTATGTCAAACTACTACACTTACCAACTTTTGGTCCCTCTTACTCTGTAGGTGACAGGAAACTACTCTAACGTCTGTCTCTGTTCTTTCCTTGTCTATCCAAAAGTAATCACGAAATATTCTCCATCTGCAGTAGTAGCAATAAGTCAGCTTAAGATGAGACCACTTTGGAATTTAATGAACCTACGTAGTATCTATTATGAGCCAGGAAAAGGGAGGACAAGTAACTTCATATATAATTAGTCAGAAGTTAGTTCCATTTATCTTTCCAGCATCTCTGTACCCTGCAAAAGACAAAGCTCTTACCGTTTCTTTTGGAATCTGCATCTGGCTTGGCTCTGCATTCTAGAAGAATTGAAGAAAAATATAAATACAGACTGACCAAAGCCATCTTCAACACACAGGGTCACAAAGCTTGACTTTAAAGGAAATTCTGTTGGTTCTTAAAACCCACGAAATATATAGAGGGTGATTATATTATGGATGATGTATGATTGTCTTCCAAACTTGCACTGATGTGGTTATATTATCTTGTGTGTGTGTGGGTGTGTGTTTTAAGAAATTTTTCTGATGTAAATTTTTACTTGTTCACTCACATTATATCATGACTTTATTATTTGGAGGAAAACAAATCTCACCAGACTGGCTCTCTATTCATGGCACTGTTTTGGTTTTTTTAATTTCCCCAACTACATCTAAGGTATATTATAATTTGATAGCTACACCAGATAGTAACAGTCTGAACCACAGTCTGAACCACAAGTATTATACTTTAAAATATTACACAGATTATAAATGTGATTTTTTTCACATACTATAGAGTTGCTTTAATTACACAGATATTTAAAAGGTTGATTTATTAAAAAGGCACATATTGATAACAGTATTTTGTTTTAGACACAGAATTTAAACACAGACACCCAGAGGAAAAGAGTTTTGTTAATTGGATTCAAAGATCATTTTAAATGCACCCCCTCCCCTTTAAGTTTCAGAATTTTATTCTTTGAAATCTTAAAAAGCAGCTGCAACATGAATAATAGACTGACGGCCTACTGGCTCACTCCTTAATGAAAAGCTCACAAGCAATAAATTAAATAACCAAGAAAAAAACTAGGCAGCAGAAGGGGAAAACAGAAGCCTGGAAGATCAAAATTGGACAAGAAGAACCTGAATAACCTTAAGCTGGCTAGATGTTGGCACTGAGTCTGGGAAGGGCTGCTGAAGAGCAGTGTTTAAGCTTTGGCAATCTGATAATGCTAACTATTACCCAGGCTAAGATATACTGACGAAGAATTAAAGCTTCATCAAATCCCATCTAAAGCTTAGTATATTTTTTTTAAGGGCTCATTTACAATTTCATAGCGACATCTCCAGATTTAGGATCAGGTGGCATTTTAAGCACAAAACTGGATAACAGTGGGGGGAAAATGGAAAACCGAATTTAAATTGGGAAATAATGCATTCAACATTTTAAAATAGAAATAAAGATGTTTTTATAATTTTCAAAATCTACTTAAAACACAAGCGTTCGGCTTACAGCCCTATCACAATCGGAAATTCCATGAAATCACAGCAAATTTGTGTAACCAGGGGATGGGGTATTCTACACTTAAACATATCTGGCTCATAATAAAAGGAAAATTTTACTAATCATGATACATCTGTACTTGAAATATTAGCCTAAGAGATTTAGGGCTATAGGATAAATTTGGGAACTGTGCCCCTAAAACCTTGCCATTCCAGTATATACAAATTAATTGTTGCTTAAAGCTAAAAACTGACTGAAAGAGATGTCAAATGCTCTAAAATGGCCCAACTAAAATCTGTTTTGAAACATTTAAAATACCACTTATACTGGAAATAAAACACTTTTCTTACCACATTTAAAAGATAAAAGTGATTCCTCCAATTATGTTGTTTTTATATAGTAAATGAAACCTGGCACTTCTTGCAGAAAAACATTCAAACTATGTCAACTTAGTATACATATTTCATTCACACCAATACTATGTAAATACCTCTTATATTTAGACATATTGATACACATTTAAAAAATGAAATGAAGTGCAAACAAATGCCTTTTGATTTCATCTATGTCATTCCAAGTAATGTCAATATTGGTAATTAATGGCCATGGGGCTTAGTACCACTCAGGTCTCCTTACTTTCAACAGTAATACTCTAGTTAAGGTACTCCTTTTCATACAACAGGAAGCAAGAAGCTTTACTTGGCTTAGCTGGATGCACTATGAAAATCTGAAATATGAACATTTGTCATACGTAGTGGAGGAGATGGCAAGTTTTCAACAACAGCCTTTGAAGTGACAGTTATGAAGTAATCAACGTCTCTGTATTCAATCAGTCCATCTGAAAGTGTTCCCTCATAAGCATTTGCTGTCCTAGAAAATATCCTTGCAATCTGATTTTTAAATACCCCTACACTCAATATTGTGGAGATCTATCTTCAAAACTAAGCAAATATAAGAAGAGGATGCTTATGCGAAGTTAAGGCTGAAAGATATATAAAATATAGAAACTGTTTGGAAAATGTCTCAATAAACACTGGCCATCAGGTGACTAGCCCAGATCCCTGGCTCATGTGCATCAGAAATCTTTCATCTGCTCTAAATTTACACACCAGTTCCCTTGGGTGGAAGGCATCTTCTTGGCGAAAGACCAGAAGGCTCACGGTCCCTTCCATCTTGGTGCTTCTCAACAGGGAAACAACTTCCTCTTGGGATTTGCCTGCTAAATCTACTCCATTTACCTAAAACAAATAAAAAGTTTTCAGCTGCAGTGCTGTGCAAACATATGACTGAAGAAAAGACATACATCCTAGAATGTATTATGTCTCTTATGGAGCACAGCTCATTTCGTGGTCAATTCTCCCATGATTTGGTAGCTAATAAAGAAACACAGCCTAGGTATCTAGAAGTAGGACAGGAAGTAGTAAATCTTTTAGCACTCATTAATAAGCCAAAAGCCACAGCCACCAGAGCATTAACAAAAACAACTAAAAATCAAATATATCCAAATTACCAGGTTAACACAAAACTTAATGGCTTTGGACTGAGATATCTTGATGGCCTTATGTATCATAGATTATCTTATACCAAAACAAAAAGGTGTTGCTGTTAGAGGGAGTAGTAAAAACACACTAAAAATATTTTGGTAAAACTTCCAACGAAATTTTACTGAAACTTATAAAGATAACTTTTTATCCCTAAAAAGACAAACATTAAAAGAAGAATACAAAATAATAATTATATTTATGGAGGGGTAGCAATATTTTGAGGTAGCAATACCTTGATATTTTTCAATGTTTTAAGAGAATCTTAAAAAAAAAGAGAGAGAGAGATTTGAAATAACCAATTTCTGGGGAATCTCCTTATTTTTACCTTTAAGGAAGTATAATAACATTACCAGAAAGCACTATATATTTAAAAGAAATAAGAGTGAAAATCTCTTTTATAAACTATTCAATAGTATTCGCTTTAGAGAAAAATAACATTTTGTCCATGACAATAAAGTATATTATTTAAATTGTAATATCAAAATTACCCTGTAGTTAAAATACCTTTTGGAACATTTCCCTCTCCACTAAAAACCATCTTCTACTGCTCAGTGTACTACTATTTAAGTGATTGCACAAAATAGGTAAGTAGTAACAGGTTCAAAGAAAGGAAAAATTTCTAGATTAAAAAAAAAAAGAAAAGAGTGACTTGATACTTTTTTTAAGTATGCTTCCAAATATCCACATGCTCAGAAAAACTGCCCACAAAACTGTTGACACTGTGTAGATGCAACTACAGATACTAGAAAGTTAGGTTTAAGACTTGTGAAAATGTAGTTTCAAGTAAAGCTGACAGCTACAGAAAATAGAGCCTAACTCTGAAGAAATAGAGGTTTCAGGCTCTTCCCACTGCTCAAAAAGAAAAACAAAAGCCTTTGTGATGTGTTGAAAGTAAAGTAATTATGGGAGGAAAGAGAGTCAACAAGAAAGAAAGAAGGTGAGGCTGATGCCAGAGAGAGAGGAGGACAGACATGTTTTGGACTCAGGGGCAAAGATGATAAATTCAAGTCCCAGCTGAGCCTCCTACTACATAAAACAAGCTATAACCGCACCCTTGGACCAACACTACTCAATTTATGCACCAAGGACAAGTGGCCCTTTCTGGAAACAACACTCTAAATATAATTTATACCCGAACCTTTCCTTCTATTTAGCCTCTACCAGTGCCCCTTTAAAAAATGGTGTCACAAGAATAAGACACAAAGGAAAGGAGCAAGATTTAAGAAATCTAGGTGCAGTATGTAGCCATGGAAAAATCCTTTTCCTGGAAGGCAATCCTTCGCTCCATTACTTTTCAAGAAATCTTTAGGAGAGTTTGATCTGGATAATTCGAAACTACATATGAAGCTACAAGTAAAGAAGAAAGGGTAATGCCACAAAACGCAGTTTAACATTAGTGTTTGAACACTAGTTAATAATTAGGAAAGGCCATATCTGCTGCTAAGAATACAGACACATTTTCTGAAGAAAATACTAAGAAAAGCGACTAATCTATTTTTCTCAATCTTTCTTCCTTTTACTTCTATATACACAAGCAATCACACACACAGAAATGCCTATGTATGTTTATGTATGTCTAAGATGGCCTCAAAGACCAATGAACCGAAACTCATGAGGTACAGAAAGGAAATTTTGAAAAACTATTTTTTTCTGACATTTGATTTTTATGTCTCAATTCATTCTCCACGCTGCCATTTCAAAATTTCCTCTCATCAAGACACACTGTTTTCATTTACTTCATTTGTCTCTGTTCTGATTACAAAGTAGATATCATTTCTATATTGCCAGACATAAATTTAAAGCCATGTAGAAATAGAACCTAGCAGACACTGTACTTACATAATGACAAATGTTACGTTATCTCATAAACTGAATGTCTGAGTAACTAAAAATTTATGAGTACACTCAATGAAAAGATATTTCTCATCAAATAACATGGAAACAAGTCGAAGTAAAGCAGAAATACACTGCTTTATGATGCAAACTTCTGCTAAAATATATAATTTCATATTTATGAAGATGTGAAAAAGAACTGACCCCTGAAAGTGGAACTTTTTAAGAATTATGGAACTTCTGACTTAGAGAAGCCACTCACCTCTATAAGTCTATCTCCTGCCTTAAGTCGGCCATCTTGGATGGCAGCCCCTCTTGGGAGGATGTTTTTCACATAAATTGGAGCTGAGCCACCTATTGTTACATCTCGGGAAGTGATGCTGAATCCCAAGCCTTCTGTACCTAAATACATAATGACAACAAAAAAAGTAAATAAAATGAGATACCTTGAATTTCAGAGGTATATGGCACAGAAAGGTTTTGTTATTCTCTACCTCAGCTTGACATTTTTTAATTTTCACAATGGCCTACACTGCTTTTAATACTTTAAAAGTCTGAAAAGCTTTTCCAAAACAGACTAAATTAGGGAAGGTTTAAAATGGCTTATATATCAAAATTCTTTAAGAAGAAATGGGAATCTAGTCCAAGACAGACGAAAGGTAATATATAAATACGACTGCTAAAAGTTTCTAAACTGGTCAAAATATTTGACGTGAAATAAACTTAATTTCTCCGTGTGGAAAAAAAATTCTGTTAAAACCCATCATACCTCAAATATCAATTAAGATTGTGCAATCATGGTATCCAGATTTAAAGGGTAGGAGGAGGAGCAAGGAAAGAGAAAATGATCAGGAAGATGGAAAAGAAACAGTGGAAAGAAAATTTTTTCTAGATAACAGAACCTCCCCACACTATAATTAAAACAATTTACTGACAGGATGAACCATATTGTATTTGCCTAGTTCTCTTCTATTTACCTAAATCTTACCATATATATTTCTCAACCAATAAATAAAATTGTAAAAATAAAAAACAAAGGCAAATTACCCAGGGAAGACCCCATCTCAGATCATAGCTACCAAGTCTAAGGACCATCATATTATGTTTAAAGGTACTGAAATTAATAAGGCATTTACATATCACTGTGCTGGTCTGTACAGTTTTAATTCTAGGCTCTTCATCAACTTTCCTAACAGGCACTCATAAGTGCAATACAGTATAGAAAAGGCGTTGCATGTTACTAGAACTGACACGCAACAAGCCAAAATGAGCCAAGAAAAAATGTCAAGACTACAACAAATTTCTAATGAATCACATAATTTTTATAACACTTCTAATAATGATTAATTTCTACTGGAGCTTTTTAAAAAATTACTTTTTAGGATATTAGATTCCATTTCAGTCAAAGTGATACTAGGACAAATACTTGGCTCATGTGGGAAGAATAAAGAGATACATAAAGGTGAAAAATCTATGGAAGGATACATTAATTTGATGCAGCACTTAGTACAAAACTAGAAGCAAGAGTACAAATCTGTAAAAGTAAATAAATACGGGCAAGTAACTATGAATCAAAACGTGGGTTAAAGAAGAAACAAAGTTGATATGAAGAAAACACCCCATAGTTATACCTGTAACAGAACCTACCCTATATATTCTCAAGTACAAACAAAACATTCATTTACTTCAAGCCTGAAGTCACTTTAATGTGCCTGGACTGTTAATTTCTTGAGTCTTCTGTGCTGAAGACTTGAATGGCATCTTGTCTATATGAAATTTTCCTAATTATTCTGCTGGGACTTTTCCATATGTCTCTGTGCTTTCATGAAACTCTAATGACTTGCAATAACATTTATTAAGAAAGAATTCTAAATTATTCCCCTTTTGCAATATTAATTTGTATGAACTACAAAGACTGACTGTTATATGAACCTCAATACTATTAAAATATCAGCAATAACCCCTAAATCTGTAAACTAAAAGTTCAGGCAGTGACCTTTAAAAGAAAGATAAATAGATATCAATTTTCATTTAGCAAAGCCAACAAAACATTTTGCACTGACTGAAACAGATTACTGACCTTCTCCTCTGACTTTATTAAAAAGCTAATTTCTACAAAAGAGCAGGGTATCTGAGAATGGCAAAATGGCAATAAATATTAAGAAATCATAATTATGGGAGCAAGTACATAAGGGCTGTTCTATTTTGTCATGTTTATATGACATGGTTCCTAAATTATGCCTAAGAGTCATTATCATGAAGGTTCTCCATTTAGCACATAGAACTGATCTCAGTTTATGAAAGAACTGTCATTCAAAGCATGTCAGTTCACTCTGAACTGAGTTTAAAGTTTAACATGGACACACCCTATGTTTTTGATGTACTTCATTAAAAATGTTAAATGTAACAATTGTAACTGGTAATAATCGTAACTGTTAGCTACAATGAAAGCTTGTTCAATTGTCATACAATCATTATTATTAAAATACCTCTATTCAGTACTAATCAAAGAGAATCAGCATTCTGCACTATTATTTATCATAAACTTATTTTTCATATAAAATATTTGTAAGTATTGACAGAATGTACAGTTGGTTTCTGCGTTTTGTCATACATTCTCACAGTAAATTAAAATCAAAATAGAGCTATGAAGCTCTATATCATTTAGAATACTCAAAGTCAGGGGTCGCCTGGGTGGCTCAGATGGTTAAGCGTCTGCCTGCAGCTCAGGTCACGATCCCAGGGTCCTCGGATCGAGTCCCGCATCGGGCTCCCTGCTAGGCGGGGAGCCTGCTTCTCCCTCTGCCGCTGCCTCTCTCTCTCTGACTCTCATGAATAAATAAAACAAACAAACAAACAAAAAATTTAGAATACTCAAAGTCAGAAAAATGTTTAAAAGAAAACCACTGCTTCCATTTTTCTGATCTTGATGACTGAGCACAGTCTTTGTCAATTAGCTGTGTCAACGTAATCCTCTTTTAAAATGCTATTAAAATAAAACTTAATTTCTGTATTCAAAAGAATGCCTCTTTTAATGTCAAGTAAAATTTCACTTCATTTAAAAGTTCATATTGTATCATAAGTTGTTAAAATATAATTGTGTAAAAAACCATAATTACCGAAATAAGTATGCCTCTTAGTGTAAAAGGGCAAAGATATTTATGAACTAGTAACTTTATGAGAATGGCCAAGTAAAATATTTTTCCTCTGTTGAGAGATCCCAAGCAGAATTTTATTTTATTTTTTTTTACAATTCCATTTGTGGTTCTTACCGTGTTTTTGCTTAAAAACAAGGGCCTGTCATTTGAGTAGAAAAAGAAGAAGACAGGATCTGATACTTATCTCATTTAGGAATTAACAAAGCTAAAAGGGGTTTATGCTGACATAACTCTGCATTTGTAAGAGGTTTCAAAAATGGAGTAAAGCTGTCAATTCCTGATCATGTCAACCAAGTATTTGGAGCTTAAAAGTCAGTAACCAGAAATAAGGAGTTTGTGGTTCACATAAAGTTCAATGAAAGAATATGATTAGAAAGGAAATAGGAATCTCAGAGTTTACAACCCTGTAAACCCTACTCCAAATGGAAAGAATGGTCTAAAGGTCAGGATATGGAATATGTTCTCGTAAGAATCTGCTGCCAACAGCCACGAGACTTGGGGAAATCACTCAACCTCTCTTGGATTCATTTTCACCTAAACTGTAGGAGTTGGTTGAGCTCATAAAAAGAGAAATATTCTTTATGACACCATTTTGAAAGAGATGATTTTAAAATATATCAGAATGCTCAGCTAAAATGGATGATTAACAGCAAAAGTCTAACTCAATGGCTGGAGGGGACAGTGTTTGGAAATCGGAAAATCAAGCCTAGCAGTCTGCTCTGAGTCGTCAAGAACAAAATGGAAAAGCATGCTTCCGGTACACAAGGATGAACAGTCTATGCAAAAGATACTTAAATAAATAAATTGATATAAGGCGTATGTAATAAAGAGTTAGCAAGGTCCATTAGAATTTCCCTTGTCATCTTAAGGAAGGAAAGCAGTATAATATTCTGGAAAAGTAGCGGACAAGGAGCCACCTGCTCGGTGAACCTACTCTTTATTCCCACGAACCACGACAGCTTCAAATCAATCACTTGCCCCTACCAAAATGATGGGGTTAAAGTGGAGGAGCTCTAACGTCCTCTTTGAGAGTTATGTCTGGACATCAAGTGGGGTGATCAGAACAGTCAAGTCCTTACTATTGTTTTAGATTTAATAGTATATCCTGAAACCAATTTCCTCCCTTACCAAAAAGTTTTACCACAGTAGTAACTGCTACCTTCTTCACAAAAACTTATTTTTAAAGCCTTATTTTCTCTGAATTTCATACTTTAATTCTGATATAGCAAAATGAATCTGAAAAGCTTAAAAACTATAATTTTAAATACATTTTTTAAGTTGTTATATCAGTTCTTTCCTCTAATAATGGGATAGTTGATTTGATTTTTAAAATAAATTCCATAGGGGCGCATGGGTGGCTCAGTTGGTTAAGGGTCTGCCTTCAGCTCGGGTCGTGATGGAGTCCCGCATCGGGCTCCCTGCTCAGCGGGGAGTCTGCTTCTCCCTCTGCCTGCTGCTCCTCCTCTGTGCTCTTTCTCTCTCAAATAAATAAAATCTTATAAAATAAAATAAATTCCATAAAACAAAACAAGGTGGGTCATACCTTTCTTCAGCTGGATATTAAGCCTCTTGCCTATTTTTTTGGTGTTATAACCACTGCTTACATTTGTACTAAATACATTTTGCGGTGCTGGGGCCGGAGCCGCTGGCGGTTTTCCGGAGGGGTGTGTGCTCTGAGGTAGTAGTCGGGGGTGAGAGTCTATCTGCTCGGGCGGGTGGTTCAGTCTGGGAGCTCTCTGCAGTGCTGGAAGTCCTGCACTATTCACACTCCTGTTATCCATATACTGGCTATCCGGACTGAAGCGGCTTGAATAGTAATTGTTCTTCTCACTCTGGGATAGTTGTTCGTACTGCTCTTTATTGGCTGCAGGAACCACATGGAACCAAATGATGGGTGTACGCATGGCTTGGCGAAACATATGTTGTGCTCTGGGTTTGAGAAAGAATGGAAAATTAGCAAATTAAGACTGGCAGACTAGAAGATATTATGAGCTTAATTAAGTATACTAATTAAGCAACAAAAACGGACTTTGTTGAAACTGAAAAACAAAATTTTAAAATATCCATTTATCAATCAAGTTTGCAAGCTCCGATAGAAGCATTGCTGTTTCTCCAAATATAAATTTCTCGTTCTCTTAATAAAAATGACAAAATTATCTATAACTACAGAGAAGATACTGTGCTCTCAATCACAAATTATTAAATAATAGCTTTAAGCACAACAGGGATATTATAATTTCAATAGGAATGGAAATTAAATACAATCTTCTCTCCACAATATTACCCAATATGTTTAAAAATTACATTTTATTACAAGGGACCACTTGAGTTTCTGAAGAAATAAATATACTTAGAAAACTACAGAAATCAACTATCCATCATCAGCAACATGAATGCAAGTCTGTGTATGCAAAATTCTCAAGAACACCAAGGCAGCCTCAGTGACACAAAATGTGAAGAGTTTTGGTCCCGGTGCTATTCCAGGAACAGCCTGAGAAACTGTTCCACCTCATGCTGGTTCCCTAGTCAGATCCTACACGAAGTCCTTTTGATTTCTGCGCACTCTTGCCTTGTTTGATAGGCACTGGACAACTTTTATCTTTCTAATTGAATAAGGACTTGAATCAGGACAAAGAAAATCTGAGTAGACCACACTGGTTCAAAGGAGCTTTCTCTGCTTATTTATACGGGGAGTCATTACGTGCAACAAAGTTGGAAATGTGAGTTGAAGTATAATAAAACCTAGCACGCTGGCAAATTTTCCAAAAGGTGAGGAAGTAGCAAAATTGTGAAGTCTAAATTGGGCCCATAATATTTTAAGAAGCGCTCTGTCAGTCGGAGGGCATTTTGAAATATAGTCTAATGGTAGTAATTACCTGGAGTCTGATTAAATTTTTAAAAGCTAGATAATGACAGAAAATACTCCTCTCTAGTATAAAGAAAGAGACACAGACGTGTTGTTTGAAGCATTTCACTGGGCTGCACTCTCTCAAGCCGAAAGCATGAAAAGAACAGCAATGCAGCCAACACACACTTACTGTTCAAATCTTCTATTTCGAAGGTCGCCATCATTAATCCTGACAATGCAATCATTCTCATGAAAAAGGTTTTCTTGTTCAGCTTTACCACCTTTCTCCAATCGTTTTACTAATAACCCCAGGGTTCTGGAACATTAAGAACGCAAATCATTACACATGTAATATTTCTACCGTGCACAATGCCCTCCTGCTTTAATGCTGGTATTGTATTTACAAAGACTTCCTGATAAAGGAGTACCTTAAATCATTATTAATACATTTGAAAATAACACCAACACAAAAAGCACAACAGTATAAACAAAGTGCAGAAATGGAGCCTTTCAATAAATGTAAGAAATTGTTTCTGGGTGTCAAGATTATGTTTCTGAAACAAACCCTGTACTTCCCTGCTTAGAACTGCCTCAAACAGAGTTCGCCCGATGGTTCGGTCTAGCGCAGTGTGGAGCATAGCTGAGCGTGTAGTTGTGGATAGCTCTGGCAGTTTTCAGTCTTAAGCCAGCGGGTACACGGCTGACAGCAATCCCGTCTCCCTGTGAGAGTGCAGGTAACCAGGAAAGGTTAACCTCAGTGCACCGTACAGTGGCGAAGAAAAATAGGAAAGTTTCCATTCGTGGCATCTGCATTTGATGGTGCCTAATATTCTGAATTTCAAAACTTGTTAGGTCTCCCAAAAGTAAAAAAAAACGTGTTGCCATTTATTCCCATTTAAAGACAAATAGGAGAAAGCCAGTGACAGGTTCAAATGTCAATGGTTCAAACCTCATCAATGTGTGCTCCAACTGCAGGTTCAAAGAAAGCCTGAATGAACTTTTAGAGACCAATGAGGAGTTAAAAAAGCAAAACTTATTAGCGTACTTGGTATGGAATACTAATGTCTTGACTGAGAGAAAGAACATTCTAGATACTCTGGGACAAGCGGCAAACATTATGGGACCACAGTACAAGAAACAGGAATCTTCATCTAGTTGTGGTGCCGTGACTGACTTAATGGCTAACATACATTCTATATGATGATCATGTTAAAAATTTTTATGAACCTATTTTGGGCCTGTCCGAAGCTTAGGTTTTCTTTCATAATCCTAACATTAAGAGATAATATCCATATAGATACTCAAATTTAGAATCCTGTCAAAATAAAAGTTGAAGATATTTCCAATAGCCCAGATACAGATATAGATACACAGCATCCAAAAGAATACAATTTGCCATGCCCTATATAGGCTTTCCAGTAAAAAGACACCCAAATAGACCGCTTTCTCTTGTAAACGTTTAAAGAACTTGTTATTTGTTCTGTGACCATTCATCTCGCTTTTATATACACACCTCCTCTCTACTAGTGCTTGGTCAGCTCCTGGAAGATAGAGAAGATGGAATTCGGCAATGCACGCTCAAGCACCGAACTAGTAGCAAGGTCTTGAGGAGTGAAAACTGAGTGAGTTTAGCTGAGACAAACAAGTCTCAACTTTCCAACAAACTTTTTGCAAAATAAAATATGAGTGAAAGGAAATTTAGATTCGGATCCTTTTTTTCATGAAGATGTTATTTACACCAAATATATGATTGAACTGAAAAAAAAGGACTTGAAAGAGTCCTTTTTCACTTGTTATTTTGCAGCTTAAACTTGCTTCTTTCATGAATACAGTCATTTTTTAACTTCATTTTAATTTTTATTATTAAGTACAGTATAGCATGTTTTACTAAGGTCAAGTCTACCAATGTGCAAAAATAATCAGGGGAGATAATATTTAAATCACCTTTTGTAATTACACCATTTGAGGATTAGTACCTACTAGTGTAACAGTCTAAAAGTCTTAGTGACTGATGGAAACATTATTATGTAAGTAATTTTTGGTAACTCACTACCATCTATTGGAATTAAACAAATATAAAAATCCTCTCAGTTCAAAGGTAAGAACAAAGTACACTGACCTAGCTGCATGAGCAACTTAACTGTCTGAGTCCTATTTGGAAGAAAGCGATCCCACACAATACGCCACCCATAATTAAGTTACTGTTAAAATGTCATCATGCCCACGATCTGTCTCCCTACACTTCCCTATTGGGTAAGTGTGTTTCTATGTGCAATGGATTAAGTGTTCCATGAGAAGAATTGAATTATTAAGATACATCTAGGATTCTGTGGAGTGAGACAAAATAATTTGAGAAGGCAAATTAAACCACAGTTATTGACAGTATGAGAACTAGAAGGCATTTGGCCACTTCACCATCGAAGCAACCATGTTCAGGGAACCATGTTAAAAGAACACCCACAGACACTCACAAGCAGACACATGGTGCCACACCTGTTACTAAAAGCTACCTCCCAGACTGAGAGCGCTTTGTCAGAGTACATGCATTCGTGTGCAGCAAAAGTAGGCCTTACCAACAGTCACTCCAGGTTAATTAGTTTTAAACTGGTGAAATCGTGAGTGGTTTCTCAGTAAGGTTACAATATTCCTGCAATCTAAAGTGATGAATAATGATTATGCTTTTATGTATGCTGAAATATTTTATGTACTCTAAAATACCCACAGAATACTTTCAGAGAGAGATATATATACATACATACATACATATATATAGAGAGAGAGAGAGAGGAGACAGAGACAGACTATGTTTAATGAAAATTACTTAGCACTTAACTAGTACTGAAAATTTGTTTAAATTTACAAATTTACCCCAGATAGATCCTTTCGGTGTTTATCACAGTTTAAAATAACACAAGTTGGAAATATGTAATTTAATTCTACAAGTGGCATCAATATTTTTCAGATGAATAGGCCTATGGATTTATATTCATCTAGATAATCATTTTTCTTTTATAATCTACTCCCCCCACAGGGGAATCATTGTAGAATAATAATCCGAAGTAAAAAAGCATGGCATGCTTCATTTATTCAATGGCTTGTCTTTCTGAATAAGTCCTCATATATGGCCTAATTCATCAGTAATCCTAATACACAGCAAAAAATGTTACAGATCAAAAATAAATACACCATCACATTTACATGAAACATAAACAGAAGTTTATTAAATGAGGCTTTTAGAATCCAAAGTTGTTCAAATAGATGCAAAATCTTGGAGTCCTTTTTCTCAGTGCCAGAGACTAGAGAACTGATTGGGGGCTGGAGGGGGAGTGGGGGGCAGGGAGGAAGAATTTCACCCTGAGTAACACAGCAAGTGATCAGGGAATCAACGGAACAGACTGAATTAAGGACAAGTTAGTAGCCTGCTGATTTCTAAGTACTTGACCACACTATTAGAATCATTCTCTCAAAAAGAATGGATTAATTTAAAAGTAAAGTGGTACAATCTGCAAAATTATCTCATTTGCTTCACTAGGTGAAAATGATTACAAAAGGAATGGGAATGAACTATCAAAAAAACTTCACAAGAAAATTGAACTGATAACAGCTGAGAATGAAAAGTACCCTCTGAAGGGAAATCAACGGGAAGTTGTAACACTTTCATCTTCCTGAAAAACGTGAGTGCAAGCAGATAGATTTCCATACCTCCCACGTTCAATTTAAAGCCTTCTCAAACAGTATAATTAAAAATAAATTTTAGGTATATAGTTTGCAAATTCATCCAGCAACTAGTATTTATTTGTTCTGGAGTAATAAAGATCTGACTGCCTATGGCGTTGTGGTCCCTAGAACACTTATTAGACACATAACTGAAGATAATGAAGTCCCAAACATTTTGGCATGCCCGTGTGCTGGGATAGAGACTAGTTTTTCTTTTAGGCAATTTGTACCAGAATTCCTTATCAGGGCAACCATTTTCCGTAAGAAGTGACTTTGCAAAAACTATGAAGAGGAAGAGGGAAAAGAGGCAGTGGGGTGAGCTCTGCAAGAGGAACAGTCCAGGAGCAGCCAGACGAGCTGACAGATACAGGAGAAAGGACGCAGTGCGCTTATTAATGTGGAGGGGCAGATTTATGAAGGTATGTCTGGAGGGTTTGGGGGTGTAGAAACAGAACCTCCTTCACCTCCTGTGTGAATCTAATGTAAGCTCAACTTGGCACATACGGCTTTTAGAGCACACAGATTTTTTTTCTGCTAAATGTGAAATATCCCCACGCCTATTCCATTTCTACTGTTTCCTGTACTTTTTCAAAATTTTGGGAAAAAATACTATATCCACTATGTACAATTCTCACTTCTGAATAATTTTCCTACACTAAAAATATGCACATATTTCTTTAAGCCCTTTCCTGTGGCTTTTGAGCACTGTTTCTTACCAAAAGCAGGGGAGGGGCAAAGAAGAAGAATACAGTCCCAGAAAGCAAGCCATTGACATGCTGCATCTTTGTACATGATTTTGGATGTGTAATTAGAAATTTAACTGCTTAGATTATATTATGGATTGCACCACTACATTTTTACAAGGTTCATTAGCCTAATTATACACTTAATTAAAACAAACTCAGTCATACATGTTAACATTTTCAATTCTAAGTATAAATTACAACCAATGATAAAACTGAAAATAAGCAACAAATGTTTTATTGACATCTAAATTGGCTAAGTAAGTCTGAGTTTTGCTTTGATAATGTAAACTCCCACAACCACCACCCAGCTGTATGGAAATGATCATAATTCATCTTAATAAAAGCTGACACAGTATAAACACCACCACTGTCCTGAAGGCAGAGCAGAAGTGGGTCGAATGGGATCGCATCAGCAAGACCTTCTCACCTCACTGAACACTACACATGAGGAGCCAGCAATTACCTACATTTGATCCCTGAGAACCACAGCCACCATCAGACACAAACAGAAGAAAGTTCAAAGAAGTTCCAAGTTTAAAAAAAAAAAAAAATCCTTAGTTTCTTAAATCTTTAAGAGATGAGATGAAGAATTTCAAAAAAAAAAAGGTAAATAAAAATAGAGAAATCCTTCAGCTTAGGGCAGAAATGACAAGCATCATACTTCTACATTTAAAGAAGCAAGATTTATCTAAATATAAGTTACATTTTTCTGTCTAAAACAAATGTATTTATTATAATCCTTTATTAAAACAAACAAATCTACAACTAAGAATGCACAATTGAAAACTTTCAGACAAAAGGCTATAGATTCAGTTGATAAAGTTAAACTGTTTTCTCAGAAGTAAATTAAAAT